AGGTCAGGTAGGTCAGGTAGGTCAGGTAGGTCAGGTAGGTCAGGTAGGTCAGGCAGGTTGAGATAGGCCAGGCAGGTTGAGATAGGCCAGGCAGGTTGAGATAGGCCAGGCAGGTTGAGATAGGCCAGGCAGGTATTGCTCACAAGTCACAGGGCTTGGCCTGAGTCGACTGAGGACGGGAGGACTTACCCGATATATCAGTTATTGTATATCGAGACGGGTGAGGCAGGTGAGATAGGCAAGGTGACGTGAGGTAGGGCAGGTTGAGGCAAGCAAGTGAGACAGGCAGGCAGTGAGATGGAGACAGGTGAGGCAGGACAGGACAGGGCAGGGCAGGACAGGGCAGGTTGAGGCAGGGCAAGGTAAGGTAGGGCAGTTTGAGGCAGGCAGGTGAGGCAGGTAGGGTGAGGTAGATGAGGCAGGGCAGGGCAGGCAAAGTAAGGTGAGGTGAGGCAGGGCAAGGTGAGGCAGGGTAGGCAAGGTGAGGCAGGGTAGGCAAGGTAGGGCAGGTTGAGGTGATCCACAAGCCCCCAGGGCTTGACATAGCTTGGGTCGACTGGGGACAGGATGACTTACCTGATATCTTGTATGCTGAGGCAGGTTGGCAAATTGGCAGGTAGGTAGATAGGCAGGACAGGTTGGTGAGGTCGGTGGGGTAGGACAGATTGAGGTGAGGTAGGTAGGTCGGTAAGTAGGTAAGTAGGGCAAGGCGAGGCAGGGCAGGTTGAGGTAGGGCAAGGTGAGGTAGGGCAGGTCGTGGCAGGTGATGTAGGTTGAGGTAGATGAGGTAGTCGAGGTCGATGAGGTAGTCGAGGTAGGAGGTGATCACAAGCCCCCAGGGCTTGACATGGCTTTGGTCGACTGGGGGCAGGGCGACTTACCTGACAGCTCAGTTGTTGTAGACAGAGAGCCAGGAGTTGTATAAGAAGAGAGAGAGAAGGATGAAGACGAGAAAGAAGATAGAAGAGGAAGAAAGGTGGGAACAGGGAAGGAAATGGTAAAAAGAGACATGAGAATAGCAGAGAACAGCAGAATATTATGAAGAACAGTAGGAAAAGTAGGTGAATGTATGGTAGAATGGGGAGTTGTAGGAGGAGAAGTCTGGGGAAGAAAGTCCGGGGGCTCAAGGGGCAATTTATAGTCGTTGGGAGAGTCACATGTATCATTTTTATTGACTTCATATTGATCCGTAGACTTGGGATATGACTCAAAAGTCGGGTCAGAAAGGAGTCACAGTGTTTCATAAATAGATCCGCGTTTAGCAATCAGGGCGTCTTAAATATGTCAGTATGCGGCTCCAACTCGGTATGAACGGAACAGCCTTCCAAAAGTCTCGTGCATTGTGCTTTCAATCAAAATAGATACATCAAATACACAGCGTCACTTCCTCAACCAGTTCTTTGCATAAGGCGGTAGCTTCTCCCTCGCTCCGAACATCCAAACTGAAAAACCAAGAACTGCCAGAGTGGCCGCAGTACTCAGAAATTTGCTGCGAGAAGTTATATCATTCCCTTCTCGATCAAAAGGCGCCTTGACAGGCGGTGATAGCTTCGTCATGTTTGCGTCAGAATAAGGAGGATATCTCGCACCCATAACCCCTTCCATCCAAGTTGGAATAGCGTTCGCATACGTGCGAAGATGCGAGAAAGCAAGGATTCCGTACTTGCCATGGTAGGAACCAATACCTGAGTTTCCTACACCGCCAAAAGGTGCATCAAGAGCAGCGGCATGAAGGATACAGTCATTAAAGGTCACACCACCAGAAGCAGTCTCGTTCTGAATGCGTGTCTTCTCCGACTCAACGTTGGTAAAGGCGTAGAGGGCTAAGGGGTGCTCATTACTGCGAGTGAAAGAGATGGCGGTATCAAGGTCCGCGTCAATGATGGGTAGAATGGGACCGAAGAGTTCTTCAGATAGAAGGGAATCATCAGGATTGACGTTCACGACAATGGTAGGTCCGAAGTATCGAGTTTGGCGGTTGCGAATGCCACCGTAAATGACCTTGCCAGATGTTCTATCGAGAAGAGACTCAAGACGATCGAAATTTCGCTCATTAATGATGCGACTGCAGTAGTCTGGTTGGTTCTCTCGACCGCCAGTGAACTCATCAAAGTAGTGGATCAGTCTTGTTACAAAAGCTTCACGTATGCTGGGGTCGATGAGGACGTGATTCACGTTAATGCAAACCTAAGATTCAACGTTAGGGCTGAAAGAGTGGGTCTTCTAGTTTCACAAAGGAAGCCATACCTGTCCAGCGTTCATAAACTTAGCCCAAGCGACATGTTTCGCCGCGAGGTCAATGTCCGCAGAAGGAGCAACAATTGCAGGCCCTTGGCCCCCCAATTCCAAAGTGACCGGCGTCAAATATTTGGCAGCAGCAGTATAGACAATCTTGGCTACTTTTGCAGATCCGGTGTAGAAGATGTGATCGAACCGAGTTTCAAGAATATGCTTCATTTCAAAAGGCCCTGCACTGATGCATTGAATGGCGTCGCGATCCAGGTATTTAGGGATGATTTCCATCAGGAGATCCTGAGAGGCTTGTGCAACCTCAGATGGCTTTAGAACCACCGCACAGCCAGCGGCAATGGCAGCGACCAAGGGTTGTAGTGTCAACATGAAAGGAAAGTTCCAGGCGCCAATAATCAATGACACGCCCAATGGCTCTTGACGGACTACAGTTCCGCCCAGGAAGTTGATGGGATCCCATCGTGTAGGCTTCTCATCCTTCGTCCATTCGTCTAGCTTGTCAAGGGTACGCAGAATGTCATTTTGGAGGCCCGTAAGTTCCCCCAGCATAGCTTCCAGAGGATGCTTGTTCAAGTCGGCGCGAAGGGCATCAAGAATGCGGCCCTTGTTGTCCTCGACCATCCACCAGGCTCTCTTAAGCTGATGGCGTCTCCAATCTTTGCTCTTCGTGCGACCCGAGGTGAAGGCGGCTCGGACACTGGCATATGCCTATCCCTTGTGTGTTAGCAAGGATGGTGTCGACACGGTCGCAAACGGGTAGATTTAGCTTGCCTGGTCAAACTCCACCTCGGTGGTAAATGCCATGGTACTGTTATTATGATGCTTGTTGATACTGGAAAATACAAAAGCTGCGTGTTGAGTTGTGGCTCCTCCTATCCATGGAAACCTCGAAGGGTGGAGCAGCGATTGCTCGGGAACGGCAGTGAAGGAGGAGCCGACAGCCGCCAACCCGTGACCCCCGCTCATCCTCAAAAAGCAAAAAGGCCGATGGGGGCCCCATTACTCTAGAGATTGTCTGGCCCACATTCACTTAATTGATCACAGATTGTCGAAGCTGATAGAATGGAATTGATTGAATACATTTTTACAGCTTTTGTACATATACCTGAGACAGTCCTCCTTTGGCCTTCTCAGCATCCTCCTCTGTTCCGCCCTCTTTTGCTTCAATACTTCCGGTGCGGTCTGAGTCCCAGTCTGTACTCATCCGTTAGCTCGCTCGGAACATACATTAAGTCGGAGCAAGTGGACTTAGAGCCAATCGTGATACATACCAGCGAACTTTCGCGCAGGGATGCGCCGCTGCCACATCTCTTCCAGCTCCTCCAGGGAGCGTCCTGTGAGTTCGGGAAGGAAGAAATATCCGCAAACCACTCCCAGGGCTGCAAGGGATCCATAGATAAAGCCAACCTTGGACTGGAGATCGGCATATGGGGCCTTGAGTAGGTATGGAAGAGAGTAGGAGACTGCAAAGTCGCATACAATGCGGATAAGCCAGGCAACAACCGAGGTCTTATCGCGGAGTCGGAGATGGGGTGTTTCTGCGCCTGTGATTACGGAACTGCAGGTGTTCGTGAATAGTCAGCACATGCTTCATCCAGGAAGACTGATGCTCGCCGCGGTAAGGGGGCATACATAGACCCGAATGACATGATGTAGAACAGCCCGTACATCATGAGCACCCCGCAAACTCCACGCTTTTTGCCATCGGTTATGGTGCCTGTCCCTAGTCCACCACAAGTCATGAGCAGGGCGGTGGTCATGGTACCGCCAATCAGGTATATGGGTCGTCTTCCAGTAGTGTCAACTAAGGAGAAGGTAACTAGAGGACCCATGGTCGAGATGCCCCGGGATAATAGCGTGAAGGCGAACGGGTTCATGACATTTAGGGATTTGACGAACAGACTGCCATACTGACTGACGAAGGCTTGTCCGGTCAGTTGGTTGAAAGCCGCCGTCATGACTGCAATCATTGTCCTTCTCTTACAGATGTCAGTACCACTCACTCGTGATTCAGGGCATGTACGAGAAGAAATGACTTACTCGGTTGGTCCCCTGGAGAAGTTCGGCCCAGGAACCTTTTGTCTGTGCGTTTGCCTCTACAGACGCCTGCAAGAAAGCCACTTCATCAGCAACATCTATATCCTTCCCCTTGTTCAGATATTCGAGCTGTTTCGTCGCCGCCTGGATTTTGTTCTTTCGGACAAGCCACCGAGGGCTTTCTGGCACAAGCCAACTACAGAGCAGATTGAAGCAGGGAAACGCCCACATCACACCGATCGGGATTTTCCAAGCAACGTTTCCCTCTAACTTGGCCGTTTCATACGTGATGATAGCACAAATAAATGAGCCAAACATGTGGGCAAAGACGTATATCACCACCGTCGCCCCACGTACCACACTAGGACTGATCTCAGCGAGGAACATGGGCACAAGCCAGTCCTCCCAGCCAATGAAACACTGCACTATCATCCGCCCGGCCAGGATCTGACCAAAAGTTGTCGCGCTGTAGCTGACTGAGATACCAACAATGCACATCAGCTGCATGCCGATAAAGCAGGCTCGACGTCCATAGTATTCTCCAATTGCCCATCCGATGAATGTGCCAGCTGCTTTCGCAGGCAGACCGAGGGAATTAAGGAAGGCCAAATGCTGGGTACTGAATCCGTATTCCCCAGTAGAGTTATCGTAGGTGCCGAATTGTTTCTCGAAAGCTTGGAGAAAGTCAACAATGAACTTGGATGCATAGACAGGGGATCCCTTTTCCTTACAGTCCATAGTCTGGATAGTCGAGTAAACAGCGTCGTCAAAACCATAGCTAAAGACACTAGTGGCAATGAGAGCGTATGCTATCAACATATTCCAAGTGAAAGCATGACGCAGATTCTGTAAGCTCTTTAGGCTTGTCATTGTTTCCGTTCAAAGCGCAGTGCACTAAGCGGAATTCGAGTATATCTCGGCAGAGTCAAGGAAGCCTTCTACTCAGACGAGCTACAGAAGAAGCATGAATCCTTGCCAGATTTGCATAACCCAAGCCATCTCGCGCCCTTGACTTTCTTTATAGTCTTTCTCGAGATATATCGCGACATTCTGGGGCAATGTTGCCATATCGCTCCAGAGGCGTCTGGAGGGGAGTGGCGCTCTCTGTTCTGTTCAGTCAATTCTGCGCTAAATGACCGACAGCCGTAGTCTGGCCGAGTACCGGACACTATAAGCTTAAGTCGTCACGCAGTGGGGAGAATGGTGGGTAATCAATGGAGGTAGATGAAGCCATCGTGCGGAGTGATGGTACCATCGCTGATTGTGCCGTCCAAGCGTTAGCGGCTGAGCTAACAGTCATGTTAGTTTCAAGTGTCCAATAACATCACCTGTCTCTTTCAAAATATCGCCAAGGTAGCAGGAAATGAAACAATATGCGCGCATGTTTATCAGATAAGTATGGAGCTATCGAGCACCTCATGGGAATCATGTGTGTGGTTGCATCAAACACAAAAAATCACATCCTCAGCACAACACCACCACCATGACCACACCTAAACGCCCGAACTTCCTCGTCATCGTCGCCGATGACCTTGGCTTCAGCGACACTTCTCCCTTTGGGGGAGAAATTGACACGCCCAACCTGCACCGTCTAGCGATGGAAGGCATCCGCATGACAGATTTCCACACTGCGGCTTCCTGCTCACCGACACGGGCGATGCTTCTGTCAGGCACAGATGCGCATATCGCAGGACTGGGCGTCATGGCCGAGAGAAGAAACCGATTTCCACACATCTTCGACGGTAAATCCGGATACGAAGGCTATCTAAACTACAAAGTCGCAGCCCTGCCCGAGATCCTACAAGACAACGACTACTTCACCTGCATGTCCGGCAAATGGTGCGTCTCTCCTCCCTTCAGCTTCACCTTCCAACAAGCATACTAACGCTATCCATACAACAACACAGGCATCTAGGCCTAACCAAAGATGTAGCCCCCTGCTCCCGCGGCTTCACCAAAGTCTTTACCCTCCTCCCCGGCGCAGCCAACCACTACAACCACGAGCCCCAGCTCTACGACACCACCGAAAAGCCCCGAGTCATCCTTAAGGGCGACAAGCAAGGCCTCTGGATGCGCGACGACCAATTCCTAAACGGCGACACAGACCTACCCAAAGACTTTTACTCCTCCAACACATTTACCGATAATCTCCTCTCCATTCTCCAGAATCGCACCCCGGATCGAAAGGACCAACCCTTCTTCGCCTACCTCCCCTTCACAGCCCCCCACTGGCCCCTCCAAGCACCCCCCGAAACCATCCAGAAATACCACGGCCAATACGCCGACGGCCCCCTCGCCCTCCGCAGCCGCCGTCTCCAAAGCCTGATCAAAAACGGCCTCATCCCAGCAGATGTCGATCCAGCGCCCATAATCACCCTCGGCACGACCCCCTGGGACGAGCTACCTCCGGAAGAAAAGGCAAAGTCCTCCCGCGCCATGGAGATCTACGCCGCCATGGTCGATCTCATCGACGTGAACATCGGGCGCGTACGTGAATATCTCCAATCCATAGACGAATGGGACAATACCTTCGTGGTATTCATGTCCGACAACGGCGCGGAAGGTCAGCTCCTCGAAGCTATCCCCGTCCTAGCGGGTGCTACTTTAGGCGACGTAATCGAGAAATACTACGACAACTCGCTCGAGAATCTGGGAAACCATAACTCCTTTGTATGGTACGGGCCCCAATGGGCCTCGGCGGCTACTGCGCCCTGTCGAGCTACCAAATCCTTCACAACGGAGGGGGGAATCAGGTGTCCGTGTATTGTGCGGTATCCGCCCCTGCTTAACGAAACCATTGGTATGAAGCCAGGAACTATCACCAACACCTTCACCACAGTGATGGATATTCTCCCCACGGTGCTCGATCTAGCGGGTATCAATCTCCCCGGAACAACCTTCCGTGGGAGGGAAGTAGCACCCGTGCGCGGACATTCCTGGCGGCCGTTGCTGGAATCCAAAGTAGACGTCGATATCTATCATGCAGATGTTGTGGGGTGGGAGCAGCTGGGTATTGCGGCTGTGAGGGTTGGAAATTGGAAGGCGTTGTTTTTGCCTCCGCCAAGGGGGCAGGGGAAGTGGGAGTTGTATGATCTGTCGAGGGATTTGGGGGAGGTGGAAGATCTTGCGGAGAGGATGCCGGAGAAATTGGCGGAGATGATTGCGCATTACGAGAGGTATTTTCAGGAGTCCGGGATGTTTGATTCTTATTCGGTGTTTCAGGAGGAGTTGAAGAAGAAGGGAGTGGAGAGGGCTTGGTAGGTGAGAGTTTCTAATAGTGCTTGTTTTCTCTGTAGGATAATGGTTCTGTTTTAAATTTGTTTCTTTGGTTGTTGTCTATTCTTCACTGTTATTATGTTTGTACGTGTTATCTGTACAGGAGGGATATCATACAATCTAACACCATCTTATCCCGTCTAGGCATACATGCATCCGCTTTGGTGAACTCCAAGCAGAAATATGACAGAAATAAAGAAATAAAGTGATACAAGGAAATTCTCGAGAGACGTAGACCAGCCAGCCTTAGGCATATGTACTCTGGCATGTCTATCGTCCGTCGTAAGACTCATTGCTGGTTGAGACAGCACGTCTTCCCCATCCACTAAACAGTCCGCCTCCATTCGGTGCTGGCTCCGTCGGCGCCTTCGCAATAGACGGTGGCCTGCCCAGGAACGAATGTCGACCCTCAGGTATGATCCCGTTTCGTGCCATGACCTTCCGCATCGAGTCCAGTTTGCCTTTGACTTCTTCAAGTTCTTGGCGTGCGACTGCTTCTGCCGTTTTTGCATTGACAAGTTCAAGCAGTAGCGATTCCTCCGCTGCCGGTTTGTTATTCTCGGTTGCAAGGACGGATTGCAGTCCCAGGCTGCTGGATCGTTTGTTGAACGTGGTCGATGTTGTGGTGCTCTTTTGGCTCTTTTGTGAGTTGGTGCGGACGAGTTTCAATTCCCGGAGACCGGTGCTGGTGTAGCCTTCACTGGTGTCGCTGGTTGGGGAGCCGTAGGTTTCGGACGGCGTCGAGTCGGAGTTCCTGGTCTTGGTTTTGACCGTGCGTAGCTCCCGGACCATTCGCTCGAGCCGCTGGCGCTCACGGTAGCTGTCTTGGATACGGCCGCGTGCTTCGCGGAGTTGTTCTCGAAGGGATGCATTTTCTTTCTCGTGCTCATCAATACGACGCGTCAGGCTCTTGCATCGATTTGATTCGAGTTCATGCATCTCCTTGTACCGGTTGAGGTCGTCGCGCAGTTGGTGCTTGGTTTGGTCGGTTGAAACGACCCTGTGCGTTTCAATCATGGCGAATCTCGCGTCAGCTTTGTGAACTAAATCCATGGGTGGCTCATCGGAAGTCTCTTTGATGTATTGCAGCATTGACTTGGCAAGAACTTGGTCTTCCTCGCGCTCCTCCCGTTCTTGCTGCAGTTCTCGCGTGAGGTCGGCATGTTGGCGTTGAAGGTCGCTGAGAGCCATGAGGAGATCCTCGATTTGTGAGTGGAGGTCGCGGTCTTTGTGCTGGGATATGGCTGATTTTGCACGTGGCTTTTGTACGTCTGTCGACAGTTCCGTCGGGGCGGTGCTGGCATCGGAGGCGGACTCCACAGAATTGAGGGTTGATGTCATGCTCTGTTTGGACGTTGATCGTCGGATGCTGGACAGGTTAGACGCACTTGCACTGTTGGGATTGAGACTGATGGACTTGACGGAGTTGTGTGAGTTAGACCCCGCCCAGAGTCGCCCGAGGAATCGAGAAGCTGCTGCCTGCATCTGAGGGAACGAAATGCCGGTTGGAACTCCTTGTGATTGGTTATAGCTAGCTTCCAGCGCCTGGAGGCTTTCCTTTGTCACAAGCGACGTGAGAGAAACAAAGTCGTTCACGAAGTCGTCCGCGTGGCAGGCATACCTATGGGAATTAGATGAAATCATGATTGGCTTGACTGAAGACTTACGTATCCCACAAACTCCTCGAAAGCAACAGTTGCATAACATCTTCAAATTCTGCGCATGCCATAATCTTCTTCTCGTTTCGCGTCATCAGGGAGAGAGCAACCCGCATCAATGTTTCACAGGCACCCTCCAGGAAGATAACGTCGTAGATCCGTAGAAGCATGGGCAGCGGGCATGCGACAGCGAAGAAGGACAAAAACCATTGCGATACGTAGACCGGCTCAACATGTAGCATCTCAAGGTGTGCGAACAAGCCAGGTCGCAGGCGAGCCAGCAGGTTCTGGAATTGATAGACGCGAAGATGAAGACCGGAGAGATCAGGAAGGTAGCAGGTCCGCAAGTCGTAATGGTCCATCAGCCTGAGGCACTGGTTAGTTCTGAAGTGTACGCTATATCATAGCTAGATCGTCCACATACCTAACGAGTACGCAGAACGCTTCTGCATCCGTCATGTGCATCAGCAAGGGACCGACGACAAAGCCCAGTCCCTGGCAGTAGCCGATCTTCGTATCGTACAGACTGAAGCATTTCAGCACTCGTGCGAGCATCTGCTGCCCCTCACCATTGGGATCCCGGAACATCTCCACATTGGGAAAGCTACGGCCAATATCTTTCCCAATTAGCCCTTCATATGGACTCGTCTCGCCGCACAATCGCTGGTATTCCGTCAACAATGTGTTATCCCGGGCGCCCGCCAAGCTGGGCCACACCACACCACGCAGTGGTGGCGGAACACCGCTCCGGATTTTGTTCGAGGTCAGTGTAGGTAGTCTCTGGGCCGTTTGGGGATAATCTGCGACCAGCGCTGCCCAGAATTCGAGTTCGGTCATTGGCGGAGGAGGCAGTTGGGAGTAGCGTAGTGATGATCGGGGGTCCTCGTCAATCAGTCGCTTGATCTGGTGCAAGGACTGCGCACGAGACGGTCGGGTGACTCGCTGCGCATGCGACTTGCTTGCCAGAGCAGACTTGGGGTTCGTCGCAAGAGCGTTGTTCTCCTGCTCCAAACGCGCTAAGAGAAGAGCAGTCGACTGGTACACGTCAACTGCTGCATCTTTCAATTTCTCTCGGACTAAAAATACGCACCTCATCCGATCCTTCACAACGGGGTTCCTGCTCTTCTGTCTTTTCCAGCTCCTCCCAATCCACTGCATCGCTTCTGTCCCGCTCCTCGCTACTGCGGGACCGTATCGAGCTAGCATCGCCATTATTGGAGCATTGATCTAGGTCTGTCCTTGCTGGTTCCTGGGTCGGGGTTGTCCTGGAGTCCTCCTCACCATCACTTGAGTGCTCCCGGGTTGGTGATGTCACGTCGACAGGGGTTTGAGGGATGTTGAGAGAGCGCCAGTCGGGTTGGGTGTGTTCCGAATTGGAGGTCAATGGCACGGTGACCATTGAGTCGGTATCGTGGGACCCAGTGTTGACGGAGTCCGAATGGACGTGGGAGGGGGAGCGATCGGCGTTCTCCATGGCCATTGCGTTCCTGATTGGGCTGTGACGTTGAATGCCGGTGTCAAAGGCGCATTCCTCGGGGAGTTCGAGATGTTAGGGGGTGGGTGTAAGTGTTTAAAGGGCGACGGAGGGGTTAAGCCAGCGGCCAGACACGATAAGGAGGGCGGACAGTCGAGGGAGGGGCTGTCAATAACGACAGCATATCTCTCCGGCGCGGAAGGGGGGTCGAAGGTAAGAACCAGCGCGTGGAATTGAGGGGCCAGAAAGAAGAAAGGATGACGAGCAGAGGCAAGGAAGGAAACGGCGGTGATTTTGGATTTCAAGGCCGGATGGGGGGGGGAAAGGGATCAGGAGCGTCGCGAGTATTATTAGCGTTGGCGACGGTTAGTCCCCGACACTAACAATCGCCATTAACCTGTCAGGTTCCCTCCTTCAGTCCTTCAGGGGCAACACTTGGGCGGGCCACTCAACATCCCCCATTCTTCTCTCCCCGTCGATCGATTTTCAATAATCATCCCAGACTACTGTTCATCTACAGCTTAAATACTACCAAACAGCCTGCTTTCCATTACACAGTTTAAGCAACATTCTTTGGAATTACGTAGATTTTGCTTACGATCTGGAATTGCTTATCACCGTCTGATCAAAATGGAGCCATTCTCCACGGCCTGCGAACCGTGGAATTCCCTGATCGACCCGGCCTGCCCTCCTTCTCTCCCGCGGGTGATTTCTCGAAGGGTCGAATGTCTACACTAGTGATGCCAGCGCAATATCCCATGGCCCTACCGTCGTTTCGCTCGGGGCCGGTCGATCCACGACCCCATCTGGTGCATAGTTTTTTATCGGCCGGTGCACTTGATCCACTAGAGACGGGCTCGAGGAGGGGTCACGGAGGGGCTAGGTGAGGCGTTGGACCTTTGGACCGCAAATCGCAAGGCTAAATCGTCGGAGCTGGCTTATCTATGAAAAGATCTCGAGGAATCAGTGTCGGAGTAACCGCCCCTTCGACAGCATCTGGCCAGTGGTGAAGGAAGCATGTTGTTGTGTTGAGGGGGTGGCCCCTGACTCCTGTTTTAAAACGTGACATGACCAGTTTCATCTGATTCAAGTCGGGTTCGGCTTCTGTTTATTGGTCAGATAGTATGTCTTGGCTGCGTTTATTGGATGATGTGAGACCCACTGTGAAAATTACCGTTACGGGTCAACACTTAGCCTTCCACCAGGCTTCTAGAAGGCCGCGAGAATCTGAGCGAAGAGGAAAGTGAAGGGAAGATCGAGTCAGTTGAATGGGTGATATTGTGATCTCCATTGCCTTGCAGAGTACTATTGAGAAGCTCTATAACCCTGGCAGAGGTAGAGAGCGTATTACTATCGACCAGTATTGCCCAGCAGTTGCCCAAGGACTTGATCGATAGATAGATAGTAATCTTGTGATGATGGATAATATATTTCTCGGCTACAAGACACCCACCTCTCAACTAATTGTCATCACATTGACTCTGTCAGATGAATACTACTAGTAATACCGATTACTGTTCTGATACCGAAAGAAATTGTTTAAAGAGTAGTAGAGGTGATTGAATCCAACGAATAGTAGCTTATAACAATACAGAAGTCATTTGGTGGTACATAGTTCCGTCTACTCAGTGTCACCTATTCAACATCACTCAGTGTCCGAGGCGACCGCCACAACATGGGTGGCAGCTGTCAACGTGGGTGAATCATGTTTCTTCACAGCAAAAAAGGGTTGAACAGCAATGATCGCATGGCATCCCTTGTTCGCTGCACTTGATGTAGGTCTTTGTGCTAAGAATAACCTTGCCCGGTGTTAGTGACTTCTTTATGTTGTTGATAAATCCCCCTCCCCCGCGCCAGCCTTGCATGTTTTGGTCGTGCCTTCCGCTTTGGGCCCGAGTGTTTGGAGATTTCCTCTTTGAGCCACTTTAGCGCCACTTCAGCAGAGGCCCGACATTGATCCGAGGGCGGTCAGCGGCCAGAACTGTTTCTCTGCCGCAGCACAGCGTCGCATTGAGCGCGTCAACAAAGACTTCGACAACAAACAACACACGGTCGACATAAAGTAGCCTATCTGGGGAATTGGCTGCTCTTTTTACTTACTTATCCCCTACTTTTTCTACGGCCTCGCTGGTTGCAGGTTGTTCTTTCATAAATCTTTCTCTCGCTGAAATTTTCACCCTTCCCGTCACTCCTTATCCTCCTTTTCCGTTCGCCTCCCTTTACCTGCGCGTGCGAAGCGTTATCCCCTCATAATGGACGATTCGATCATGGACGACTCCGTCTTCGACGACGAAGGAAGCTCCGACTTCGTCCCCGAGCCCGCTCCGGTACGTAACACTTCTTCTCATTCTAGCCTCCTGCTTCGGACTCAGCGAGCTCATGATAATTACAGAAGCCCAAGGCCAAGGCAGCCCCCAAGAAGGCAGCTTCTAAGGCAGCGCCTAAGAAGCTCACCCAGACCACCCTCACTACGAAGACCACATCCAAGGCGGCTTCGAAAAAACGTGCCAAACCGGATAGCGATGACGACGACAATATGGACGACGATGACGATCACATGTCCGACGACTCTGTTCTGTCGCACACCCCTCCCAAGAAGGCGAAGAAGACGGCTGGTCCCTCCAAGAAGGGCGGCGCTAAGCCCCTCGCGGATGTGGAAAATGAATCATTTGGAAAAGATGATTCCGTAGAGCCCGGAAAGTCCAACAATGCATCAGAGAAGTACCAGAAGGCAAGTATTTCCGGCGTCGCTGGGCCAAACTTGGGCTAACAGTCGCATTTATAGCTTACACAACTTGAACACATCATTAAACGTCCCGATACATATATTGGCTCCGTCGAACGCACGACGCAGCAAATGTGGGTATACAGTTCGGAGTCGGAGGGAATGGAGTACCGTGAGGTCTCCTATGTGCCCGGTCTCTACAAGATCTTCGATGAAATTGTCGTCAACGCAGCCGATAACAAACAAAATGACGAGAATATGAGCGAGATCCGCGTGACGGTCGACCGTGAGTCGGGCGTGATCAGTGTCTGGAACAATGGCCGCGGTATTCCCATCGAAATGCATGCCAAGGAAAAGATCTACGTCCCCGAGTTGATCTTTGGTCATCTCCTCACCTCCTCCAACTACGATGACACGCAACAGAAGGTCACCGGTGGTCGTAACGGTTTCGGTGCCAAGCTCTGTAACGTTTTCTCCACTGAGTTCTCCATCGAGACTCAGGACTCGTCTCAGAAGAAGAAATATAGGCAGACATGGACGGAAAACATGACCAAGATTGGCAAGGCCAAGATTACCGAGGCCAAGGGAGAAGACTACACCAAGGTCACGTTCAAGCCAGACTACGCCAAATTCGGCATGGACGGCATGGATGATGACTTCGAGGCTCTTGTCAAGCGTCGTGTGTATGACCTGGCAGGCACTGCAAAGGTGAATGTCAAGCTAAACGGCACTCGCATCCCTATCCGCGGCTTCAAGAAGTACATGGAGATGTACACCAAGGCTATTCGTAAGGAACGTGGAGACACTGGTCCCGCCCCGAAGGACGAGATTATTACTTGCAGCCCAGACCCTCGCTGGGAGGTCGGTTTCGCCGTTTCCGATGGCGCTTTCCAACAGGTGTCCTTCGTAAACTCCATTGCGACCACCTCTGGTGGTACCCATGTTAACTACATTGCCGATCAGATCTGTAATAGATTGGCTGAGCAAGTGAAAAAGAAGAATAAAAACGGCGCCACGTTGAAAACAGCCCAGATCCGAAACCACATCTTCATCTTCGTCAACGCACTGATTGTCAACCCGGCATTCACATCCCAGACCAAAGAACAGCTGACGACTAAGGCTTCCCAATTTGGTAGTAAATGTGTGCTTGATGAAGACTTCTATAAGAAGGTCCTGAAGACAGCGGTGATGGACAACATCTTGCATTTCGCCCAGCAGAAGGCCGATCAGATGCTCAAAAAGACGGACGGTGGCCGGCGCTCCCGTATGAACAACCCCAAGTTGACCGATGCCAACAAGGCCGGCACCAAGGACGGCCATCACTGCACCCTGATCCTCACAGAAGGTGACTCTGCCAAGGGTCTGGCCATGGCTGGTCGAGCGGTTGTTGGCCCGGATCTTTTTGGTGTTTTCCCGCTCCGAGGTAAACTGCTCAACGTCCGTGACGCTTCCTTCGACCAGATCTCAAAAAATCAGGAAATCCAGAATATCAAGAACTTCTTGGGTCTGCAGCACAAGAAGGAGTATACCGACACCCGCGGCCTTCGGTACGGTCACTTGATGATCATGACTGATCAGGATCACGACGGTAGTCACATCAAGGGCCTGCTCATCAACTTCCTACAGGCCCAGTTTCCCAGTTTGCTGAAGATTCCCGAGTTCTTGATTGAATTCATCACCCCCATTGTAAAGGTGTGGAAGGGTGATCCCAAGAACCCTACCAAACAGCGTTCTTTCTTCACTATGCCCGAGTACGAGGCATGGGCGGAGGAGCACCAGCATGAGCGTGGTTGGGATCACAAGTACTACAAGGGTTTGGGTACCAGTACTACTGAGGATGCCCAGGTCTACTTCCGCGACTTGGACCGTCACCTTAAGGAGTTCCACACCATGCAGGATAACGAGGCGGAGTTGATCGAGCTGGCTTTCTCGAAGAAGAAGGCTGACGAGCGTAAGGAGTGGCTGCGGCAGTTCAAGCCCGGAACCTTCTTGGATCATTCCGTTGAGAAGATCACCTACACCGACTTCATCAACAAGGAGCTTATCCTGTTCAGTATGGCGGACAATGTTCGTTCGATTCCCTCTGTTGTTGACGGTCTGAAGCCTGGTCAGCGTAAGGTTCTGTACACCTGTTTCCGTCGCAATCTGAAGAAGGACATGAAGGTCGTCGAGTTGGCTGGTCACGTCTCGGGTATGACCGCGTACCAGCACGGTGATGTTTCCTTGCAGCAAACCATTGTTGGTCTGGCGCAGACCTTTGTTGGGTCCAACAACATCAACTGCCTGGAGCCTAGCGGTAACTTTGGTAGTCGTCTTCAGGGTGGTTCCGACTGCGCCAGTGCGCGTTATATTTACACGCGGCTGTCCCCGTTCGCGCGCCGCATCTTCCATGCGTCAGACGAGCCTCTACTGACCTACAACGTCGACGATGGTAAGACTATCGAGCCTGAGGTCTACATGCCGGTGGTTCCCATGATTCTGATCAACGGTGCGGACGGTATCGGTACCGGCTGGAGTTCCTCGATTCCCAACTACAACCCGGAGGACGTCGTGGACAACCTGAAGCGGCTGATGAATGGCGAGGAGATCAAACCTATGCAGCCCTGGTTCCGTGGGTTCACAGGTGAGGTCACTTCTATTGGCGGTGATCGCTTCAAATTCAGCGGTATCATCAAAGAGACTGGTGAGAAGGAAGTGGAAATCACCGAACTGCCCATCCGAACTTGGACTCAGGATTTCAAGGATAAGCTTGAAGATATCATCAAGGCGGAAAAGACACCGTCGTTCATCAAGGACTACAAGGATTACAACACGCACACCAAGGTTCACTTTGTAATCCAGATGGATGAGAAGCATCTGAAGTCTGCTGTCGAAGAAGGCTTGGAAGAAAAGTTCAAGCTGACGAAGACCATCGCCACCACGAACTTGGTTGCGTTTGATCCCGAGGGTCGGATTACCAAATATGCGACAGTGGACGACATTTTGAAGGAATTCTTTGCAGTCCGTCTGAAGTATTACGAGCGCCGCAAGGTAGGCCATTCCCAGACGAACTTGATGCTAGTGTGCTGTCTACTAACACCGAAGTTTAGCAATACCAACTCAACGAAATGCAAAAGGAGCTGGAGAAGCTGAGCAACCAGGCGCGCTTTGTCCAGATGATCGTCGACGGTGAGCTCGTCGTTTCGAAGAAGAAGAAGAATGTGCTCGTTGTGGAGCTGAAGGACAAGGGCTTCAAGCCATTCCCCAAGGTGGCGGATGCTGCCAAGGCAGGGGAAGCCGAGCCAGCTGCTGAAGATGAGGAGGAATCCGAAGACGTCGATGATACCAGCAATCTTTCCAACGCGTATGACTACCTGCTGGGTATGGCGATCTGGTCGTTGACCCAGGAGCGTGTGGAGCGCCTCCGTCGCCAGATTGGTGATAAGGAGATGGAAATTGACACCTTGATCAAGCTTTCCAAGGAAGATATCTGGAAGCGGGATTTGGATGACTTCATCAACGAATGGCGCTTCCAGCTCGACGATGAAGCTCGTCGCATGCGTAAGGTGGCAAACATGGGCCGCCGTACCTCCTCCAAGCTGATGACGGCTGTGGGCCGTGGCGGTGCCCGCAAGCGCAAGGCTGCTAAGGATGATGACTCGGATGATGAAGACTTCGCCGCACCGAAGACCAAGCGCGGTCCGAAGAAGGCCGAGCCTAAAGGCACGCTCCATAGTTTCTTGAACAAGTCCTCTCCTAAGCCCAAGCCTGCAGCGGACGACGATGACGACGACGATGATTTTGAAATGGAGGTGATGCCGAAGAAGAATCGCGGGGCCAGCAAGCCGGCAGCGCCAGCGAAGGAAGAAGAGAAAGAGACAGGCGAATCCGATGTGGAAATCCTGCCGAAGAAGAGTCGGGCTGCACCCAAGGCTGCGTCTAAAGTTAAGGCCGAAGATCCCGACAGTACTGAGGTGAAGAAAGCACCAGCTAAACGGGGCCGTCCGGCGGCCAAAGCGAAGGCCAAGCCAGCGGAAGAGGAGATCGAGCTGGACGACGACGAGTTCATGGAGATCACTAAGGCGCAAGCTGCCGAGACTAGCAAGGCTGACCCAGCGCCCAGTCGAGCGCGCAAGCCGGCCAAGTACACCTTGAGTGACTCGGACAGCGACAACGGGGACGACCTCCTGGGCGACGTGAGCAAAATGGTCAAGGGGATCGGCGGCACTACCGGCGGATCGACATCGGACTCCCGGCAGCTGTTCTCGGAGCGCTCTGGGGCCGGCAGCACCTCGGGACTGGCCAGCAGCTCCAAGGCCTCGAAGCAGTCTCCCGATTTTGACGCAGACGAGACTGACTACAGCAAGCTCGTCCCACAGAGCTCTCCGCGCCGGTCGCTGCAGGTTAAGTCCAAGGAGACCAAGACGTTAGTTGACAGCGATGAGGAGGAGGATGAGCCAGTGAAGCCGGCCGCTACCAAGGCCAAGCCGGCGGCCCGAGGCAAGGCAGCGGCAGCCAAACCGGCCGCGAAGCCACGAGGACGGCCAAAGAAGGATGCCACCACCACGACGGCTGCATCTGCTAAGCAGACGGCGCTGTCGCCGGCGGCCAAGGCGTACGCTTCCAAGCAAGCCAAGACGACCGGAAAGAAGAAGCAGTTAGCGGATGACTTGTCGGATGACGACATTGATGCGATGGCTAATGATATCTTGGATTCTCCCGCAGCGCCCACTACCCGGCCATCGCGGCGCACGGCAACGGCCAAGAAGAAGACATATGTGATTGATGATGACAGTGACGATTTTGGAGCCGGAGGAGATTCGGAGGATGATTTCGCAGAGGACAGCGAGTAGAAGAAAGATGTGGCGAGAGGAGTACATACATGTAGACGTAACTAATTTTCTATTGAGTCGGTCTGTACCTACTACTACTACTACTATTCCATTGGTACTACTTCATCGGATGTGATAATACAGTCGGAATTTCCATTTGTTAAATTTCAATGTCTTATCTCGGGATGTTTTGTGTAGAAGCAAAGAAAAGTCGGCGAGAAGTCCGAGTGTGTGGCCCCAGGCTCCACTCAGGCTCCACTTGGTGATCCACCAAATTCAAGGCTTGACTTTGAAGTCTCTTTTTTCTTTGCCTTTCGAGAAAAGAGACCCGCCGTTGAACGTGATTGCGTTTACCCGGACCTTAGTTATCGACCGAGACTGGACTGGCCATTATTCAGCACTGTTTGGTCCCAGGATTTGCGTAGTTCTTTCGTCTCCAAGGTGGTTCTCTCGTCTGTCCCTTTTCCTTTCCTTCTTCTCTTCCTGTGCCTCTCCCACTGACAGACATCTCCCCTCCATGCAGGCCTATCTTCAGTACCGCCGCATTGGCCATGCCGTGCGCCAACAGCTCGAAGACTTCCCGGAGTTTGCCCGACCAGGCGTCGCCAAAGATGACCTGCCGGAGGGGATCCCCAGAGATGCTCCCAACGCAGTTTCGCGCCGCCGTTCCAGTCCGCTGCTGCCGGGCGTGCAGCTGAAGGACGTAGTCGAGAACGATGGCTCGTCCTCGTCCGTCCTGCTCGTCGACTGGGACGGTGACCATGATCCCATCAATCCGCGCAACTACAGCCGCGCCACCCGCATCGGCGCAACCCTGATGGTGTCCGCGCTGGGTTTCGCCGTGGGTGCGGCCTCGTCCATCGAATCTGGCGTGCTTCCCCAGAACGCAGCAGCCTTTAACATCAGCAATGTCGTCGCATCGCTCGCGACGGGCATGTATCTGCTTGGCTTCGCAGCAGGCTCGCTCGTCTCTGGACCTCTGTCCGAAATCCTAGGCCGCAATGCCGTCTACACCGGCTCCCTCACGCTATTCATGATCTTCGTCATGGCCTCAGGACTGGCCCCCAATATCGGCGCACAGCTCGCTTTCCGCTTCCTTGCTGGCATCTTCGGCTGTCCACCATTAACCTGCGCCGGCGGCACCATCGCCGACCTCTGGAACCCCCTGGAGAAAACCCTCTTCTTCCCTCTCTACGCCATCCTCTCCTTCGGCGGGCCCGTCCTCGGCCCTGTCATCGCCTCCTACATGGGCGAGGGCACCCTCTCCTGGCGCTGGACCAACTGGATTATCCTCATTCTGGCAGGCTTCATCCTGGCTCTGATCCTCCTGCTGCAGCCCGAGACCTACGGCCCCCTACTCCTGAAATGGAAGGCGCACCATCTCCGCCACCAAACGGGCGACAATCGCTACCGCTCATCAATGGATCTGCAGGAGACGGCGCTGTTCTCTCGCATCGGAACCGCCTGCATGCGACAATTCGCCCTGACCATCCACGAACCCATCATCCTGCTAATCTCTCTCTACATGACCGTCATCTACATCGTGCTCTTCACTTTCTTCGACGGATACACGTATATTTTCAGCGACGTGCACGGCCTCTCCCAAGGCCTGACCAACATCGTCTGGGTCGCCATGTACGTCGGCATTTCAATGGCCGGACTCTTCGTCCCCGTCGTGTACGTCTGGACAAAGCGCGAATTCTCCGACGCGGCTGCATCCGCTGCTGCATCTGCAGCGGCTTCCCCCCGATCGGCCAGTTCGGAAATAGTCACTGCCGATCCCAACGCCAATGGCGCCGATAACTCTGAGAAACCGAACCTCGACGACGATGATACCCAAAAACCCACCCAGCAACACAAGCACGTCGCTCGTCCCGAGAACCGTCTTTGGTTCGCCATGCTCGGTGCCCCCGCCATTCCCATCGGATTATTCTGGATGGGATGGACTGACTACGTACACCCCCCCCCCCCCCCCCCCCCCCTCTCTCACCCCCAGTTCTAGAAAAATACTAACATGATGAATAAATAGAGCTCAATCTCAATATGGTCCCCCATCATCGCATCCACCGTCTTCGGCTTCGGCACCATCTGCGTCTTCATTTCCTCGTACATGTACGTCATCGACGCATACGACATCTACGCCGCCTCTGCGCTGGGCTTCATGACAGTATCGCGCTACTGCGCGGCAGGCGGGATGACGGTCGTGGGGATCCCCTTTTATAGTAATATGGGGGTGCATTGGACGTTGACGATCTTGGGGGCGATTAGTGCGTTGATGACACCCGTGCCGTATGTGTTTTATCGCTATGGTGTGGTGATTCGGGGTTGGAGTCGGTATGCGGTTTAGTTCGGCTTTGATGAAAGCGCATGTGGGAGAGAGTAATTAATGGATCGGGTAAAGAGGGGGTTTGATATCCATATGATACAGGATAGACTGGGTATGGGATAGTTATAGATTAGATTAGATGCTATAGAGAACTAGAATAATGTAATTTAATTAGAGGTATATTTATTCCATTCGTATTTCTCAGATCACTATCTGTATGTATGTAGCTGGTGTTTTTAGTAGTTCCCTTTCTTCTCGCTAAGACAGGATGGAGCAAGTGCTCAGTTAAGTTCGTGCATAGTTCTGGTTTTGGTGGTAGCTTCGTGGATGGGAGGGGGTATGTAGCCTAGTATGTATCCATCTTATGTGTTAACCCCCTCAATCGGGCTCTAGTCACTAATACAATTGGTATATATTACATGTAGGAATCTCACGCAGCTTTTGACTGGGTGACGGTGTGGAGAAGTACATGCTTGGCTGGTTTGGAGGGAAGGACAGATTGGGTAATAGTTGCGAGTAGGGGTTGGTTTTCTGTACTACTTTGGGAGTATATCACTTGATGTAAAGGATTTGGGGGAGAAAGGTATGTGAGGTATGGGAAGTAGTAGACTATTACCATAGACTGAAACCAGCTGTTAATTCTCTTCGGTATAATTCAACAACTACATCCATACCTCTGTTTCCATACTCACCTACGTGGCTGTATGAGATCTAACGTGTGCTTGTGATATAGAAACGAAACCAAATCTATTCTAAGCCAAGTGTAATACATGAGTCAGCGCCACTACATATCCAGTTAATCAAGCAACCATAACGCCATCATCGCCCGTCCACCCTGCCAACAGCCCAAGTGCAGTTTTGTCAGTAAGAGACCACATGATGACACCTTCAAGAATGTAGAGTTAACAAGAACAAGAAACCGTCCTGTCAGCTTACAACATACCATATCTTATACCGCTGTTGCGCAAGTCCATTAACGCATGCGCGGCAATGGCTGCCCTAGAACCCTCCAAAGGAGCCTCAGGCTCACAAGTATCCGTTGGCTGCCAGGAGCAAGCACCAACCATTCCTGTAGCCGATAGAACCTCAGCTGAGCGCAGATCGTCTTGCAGTTCAACTTGACTACCTCTCTTGTGGTCGTCATCGGAGAGGTGGTTGCTCGATAAGCTGGAGCCATAGAAGGTAAGCTGCGAGCTTGTCTCTGACCGGAATTCCTCTCGCATCCCACGTCCGAAAACTGCGCGTGGTGAAGTGCTTCCATCGGCAGTGTATGGGGTATCGGCCAGCATATATGTACTATTAGAGCAGCTAGTCGGCGAAACGCAATATATATCGTGCGGAGAGACGCTCTGACATTTCTGCTGGCAAGGCGACGATTTCCGGGTTTTGTTCTGTTGGTCTCGGTCGGGTTCTTGGAAGCTGTTATTACTTCCACGTCGGGAAATCGGCGGCTCCAGGCTGCGGTAGTAAGCCACATCCTCCGCGGCTTGCCGGATTATCTCCGGATCGATGATCATGTTGTTAAAGCGGGGGTCATTTGGGGGAATGCACTGCGCAGGAAAATCGAGGCCGAACATGGGCGTCAGGACGAAGCGAATGTTCCAACAAAATGTGGTTGCTAGCGCTTTGGCAGCCCTAAATGGCATCCAGTATCCTTGACTCTGGTTAGCGGAGATTTTTGAATAGAAATAAAAGCTTACCTTGTCCGACGAGTGCGCCGCCCGTGATGCTGTGACTAATATCGCTGAGGCCCGGGTTCATCTTCAACACCTTCGCGGGAGCGGTCTGGAACCATCAGGTCTGCTCTGTTATGCATAGGCTATGGAAGACACACCTTTGGATGGCCGTTGCACTTGAACAGGGATCTTGTGAGAACAAGTCCAACGTTATAATCCCACGATATTACCCACGTCTTGGGGTTGTCGGGCATCTCGAACGTGTAATGGAAAACTATAAAAGACTCTCCCGGTCAACGTATGGCTTGAAGTAGGATCATGGACAATCACCTTCAAAGCCTTCCCTCCCTGTCCGCTCCTTGAAAGACCTTTTTTTGCTAGTATAGGGGATGCGGTCCGGAAAGTCTGCTATGTTGCCCATGGGGTACAACTTGTGCTTCAGGTGGATCGTTTTAAGCTCTTCGTCGCGCTCATCGTGAACGCGATAGCGAACTTCGCCCTGGACCTTGCCCCTCCTAAAGGACGGTTGATCTTTGGGGACCTTCTTCCTTTCTGAGTGGGGTGACTGTAAAGACAATTCACGCTGTGAGCTTGCCGGATTGAGACTGGGGCACGAGGTATCGGGGTTCAGCAGAGACCTTATCGAGGCCATTGATCCAACAAACTAAGTTAATTGAATAATGAGACAGATAGAATGTGTGGCTCAATGGAGGTTGAGAGGGGTGGGCATCGAAATCTTAAATAACGATGGAGAAAGATAGGCATGCAGATGCACATCATCATCGACATCTCTGCTTCTCTCGAGCTGAGACTTACCATCCGCTATGCCCACTTAACAGAGTTCTAGAAGGTCTGCGAAGGTTTCGATGAGAGTTACCAAACCGTAACGGGGCAATTCAGTGCACAGTAGTTGTTCAAGCCCGAATGTCGGGAGATGTCTCTGCCTAGCCCATCACAAGCTTACCTAGAGAAAATAGCATGCCCGGCAAAACGACAGGGGAAGAAAAAAAGAAAATAGAGAAAAAGCGGGAAACATTGCAGGGTCTACATTTTCCTCCATCGCCAATGCATGCGTTCCCCTGATGGTTTTCGGAGAATGAGCTCAATGGCTGATTTTGTGGAAAAATAGGCTTGTTCTGTTTGCATGGAACAAACCATTGGTCGGCCCTCGAGGCTTCAGGCCAGCGGTGAACCAAGTCCCAATAGATTCTCGAACAGACGGTTGGCTTGAACAACTGTCTTGGATGGAGGGTTCCCACACGAGACAACCTCACCGATACTTGAAAAAACATCACGAGACGGTATCAGCCACTTTTTCTGAATCTAGACCCGGACTTGTTGATGTCTGCTAGGAGGTTCATTTCTCCAACTGTCACTGCCGATCACTTACATTCCTCTTGGAGAGTGCAAGCCCGGGTGATCTCATTGTCATCATCGACATCGATTATCCTGGTATGACAGGAGCTCACATATGTCTCTAGCTCATCGAGGCCTCCTTCGTTCCACCGCCCATCTGGAGTTACCCAAGGCCAGGATCACGACGCAATACCACCGGGTCAGATGGTGAATTAGGTTTCAGGGACTCATACGGCCATGTGGATGAGTATTGCCACCAGTATCGTAGACCTCTCAGGCCTTGATAGCCCGTGTTGCAAACAGATGGCAAGACGACTCCAGTAGCATAGGCAAGAAAGGGGGCCAAGATCCACAAAACTTTAAAATGGGGATCTACATGACATTCTCGTACTGTATCATCTGGAGCCTGCTGACGATGACGCCTTGGCTCTGCAGGCCTGTCGCCATCTGTCTCTGCTCGACGGCGCGCTCATGCCGCCCAAGAGCATAGAGCCATAGATCCGAAGTACGTATGAGCTGCTCGAGCAACCGAGGGACTAGGCATTTTTCTCGTATAACCAATAGCGAGCGAACAGGGCTACATGAGACTGGCTCGGCGAGGCGGATATTTGAGAGGTCTCAGACCAACGGGAAGCCGCAGCTCGCTCTTGTATCACCAGAAGCTGCTTTTCCGCCAGCTAATTGTTTCCATCGGACCTCAGGGGTACCGGGAGCCTTTGCAAGATGATGGTTTGTCTTGTGGTAATTTTGTGGCTGACGGACTGAGGAGGCCAAGCTAGGAATTTCGGTTTTGGAAAGGGAAAGGAAAGGAACCGGCCTCGATTGTCTCACATCCACAACAACCGATGAGTGCCAGATGAGCATGTACTAGGTATTATTGTTGACAGTATGGCTCTGTTCTTTTCAGCGGCTCTCCTAATCCTAGACATGAAAGCACATGGTCACACTGCTTTGCACCATTCTAACAGACGACACCTCTGGCATAGGGGAGCTCATTAGCACAGCTTCAGCTCAGGCGTCACTGCATGATAGCAACACTCATTGACAGGATATTCGCTTCAGTTCACTCTGTAGATTAATACCCGCCAGATCTGGCGATTACGCCAATTAGAAAAGGCAGAGAGAGGTGTAAGGGCCCGACACAGCAGGCCATCCCGCTGGTGCCAGTAAGGTTGAGCTTACCACGCGGGTTTCTGTGCCGGGGCCCCACGATTCTGTGGCGCACCAGCCCTCTGGTTCCTTCTACTTGTTTGTGCTTCCAAAAAGTCCCTTTTTTTGTGTGTGTGTCCAATCAGTCCTTCAGATGGGTAGCCGAGCCCCAGCGGGGAGAAGCGCAGCGGCTTGGTACCGGCATTTGATAGACAATGGAGAAGAATTCCGGCCGAACGGTACTTAGCGGTAGCCAGGGGGGATGAGGAAGTAACAACAGCGTCTCTGGTGATCAATTGATGGTTAGGCTGCGACAGAGAGGCTGGTCTAAGAAAGGAAGAAGGAAAACTCAATTCAAGACAATGGGAAATTACTCAGGCTGCCATACGTACCAGACTGTCTTGTAAAGTACCACCTTTGCCTTTTTGGCCTCTCCATAATTAGAAATTGGGAGGAACAGGGTGTGTTCTAGGCTTGTTTGGGGGACGAAGAGGGGAGTCATTGCATGTGTTTGTGGGACGTGATGTTTAGCCTTTGGATCACCATGCAGGCCAGTGATTGGCTGCGAGGCTGTTTTTAGGCTGTGAGAACGCAGCGGGTCCTTTGAGACGTGTAGTCAGAAGACAGGCAAATATACTCACAGTGGGAGCACAGGTGAGAAGAATTGGGAGAATGCAGAGGAAAGAGAAGGACGAAGAAACTAAGGTAAGGTATCCAGATAGTGCCATAGTCTATCGCTCCTTCCCCGAGCGGGATTGACTGCAGCACTTCCGGGCGGGTCCCGTGGCGCCTTCCCAATCCATCATGATGTGCAGTCACTATCAACTACGTACTCATTCTACAAACAACTAACTAGGACTTTGCCTGACTATCCTCCAATCCAACTCTGAATCGTCCCCTAAGAGAGAACAGGTATAGTAAGTAACTCGCAGGATTTCCTTGAATATGTGGTAAGAAGTATGTCGGAGTCAAGAATCCCTTCCTTTCCCCACCGCCCCCAAAGAGAAAAAAGCAATAACTCAATGCCACCAAACGCACGATGAGAAGTATTTCTCCTATTTGTCATTAGTCGCAGGGGCCATACAGATTCCTCCGACAAGGCTCTTTCTTACAAGCCAAAGTAACGGAAATACATACAACTGCACAGTAAGCGAGGACAGAAGAAACGCAATTTTGATCCTGCAACTACCCCTCTTTCTCAATGCTTGAGACATACTAGTATTAGCAATTAGTAGTAGGAGACTCAGTCATCTCTGTATCCTAGTAGTCTCTCAGGTATCCAGAAAACGGCAAATTGAATTCTTACTCAACACTAGAGAAAGCTGCTACATCCCAGCAGTCAGTTTCAGGGAGGGATCACCATCCCGGCGGCGAATTCCCGTTCACGACCACTGCAGGCCAGATAAGCTCCTGTTCCTCGATACTCGCCGGCCGCTCAGAAGGCCGCGGCATCCTCGGATGCAACCCGACGACGGGTTTGCGGTTCTAGATCCAGGGATGTTGTACATTTTGTAATACTCCTGTATTTGAGCGGTTACCGAAAGAGAAGAGAGAGAGCGAGTGGAAAGAGGCGGGCGAGATAAGTGGAAAGCCATGGTCGTGTCGTCACCGGGTGATACGACCGTCCTTGGAACTCGAGCCCTTTGTCGAAGCTGGGGGAGGACAGAAGAGGCGCGTTTCGGGCCTTTTAGCCACTGCTGTTCCTGAACCATGGCCACATCTTCCGGTCGCAGATGTAAAAGGACGTACTTTAAAATTGAGAAATAGCAAAAAAAAAAATAAAAATAAAAATAAAAATAAAATAAAAATAAAATAAAATAAATGCATACATGCATTAAGTGGTGCTCAGTAGTATAGCTAGAATGTAATTCAAACACGCAACCTGCTCAACGCCGGTCCTGTTATGCCACCCACCCAGAGATTTGTCCCGCAAGAAACGTCTTCAATAAAAGCATCCCAAATAAGTCATGTAGGGCACCCCAATGGAAGTCTAGACAAACACCTAACCCGAGAACATAACGAAAACTTCAATCCATCCTCTATCCATTAAAGGACCAACCACCGTTGAGGCGCAGACGCTGCCGCTCAGCAAGGTCACGTCGGATCTCATCCTGCGTCAGCCCATCGGCGCCAGACCAGTTCGCACTGCTCGTACGTTCACGGAACTTCTTGATCTTCTTGTCCGACTTGAATGTCTCCTCCAGGGAGAAGGGCGCAATAGGGCCGAAAATAGAATCCACCTCCATGCCTTCCTGCTGACGCAGGAGTGACTCCAGTTCCTTGGGCTGGGCCCACTTGGGCACGGGAAGCATCTCCGCATCCGAGTCCTCGTCCTCACTGTCGGTCGCAATCTCGGGAAGGTTAATGTTTTCACCATTCGGATACTTTGGTGACTCCTTGACCGGTGCCTTTTGGGACGCACTAGCGGCGGCGGGAGTTCGGTGTGCAGCCGGCTGCACACTGGGGGGTTCCGCAAAGGGGATCTTGCCACTGGCATATTTGGCCATATCCATTGGATGGGCAGGTCTCTGGGCCTGACCTGTCTTGAAGATCGAGGAGCCGGATTGATGTGCAACAGAAGACTGTGTATGACCAAAAATGGACGGCTTTGTAGTTTCCTCGTTACACGGTCAGCGCAGCTCCAAAGTATTTCAGCACCTGCGTAGTACTCACCTTACGAATATTGGATTGACGGATCGGCGGGGCCATTGCCGGACGCATAGAAGACATGCGGCTTTGCTCATCCTCTGTCCTCCTACGTTTGGTTTCGCCCGACGGCTGCATGGTAGCAGACTTCGGTGCTGTCGGTCGGTGGTTGGCCTCGTCATCAAGTCCTCTCTTGGGCGGTTTAGCGGGGTTGGGTTGGGGCTGATTAATTGACCGATTGAAAGGCTGAATCGAGCCCAGTCGTGAGGCTGGTCGAGCTGCACCGAGCTCACTGCGTTGGGTGGCCTCAGGCTGCTGGCTCCCCTGTCGCTCTAGTCTGCGTTGATTCTCCAGGCGGCGCTTTTCAATGGCTTGCATGTGGGCAGCCTTCTTTGGATCCTCGGCAGCAAGTCGCTCCCGGCGCTCAGCCTCTGCCCGACTGCGCATCTCCTGACGACGAGCTTCTTCTTGCTGCTGAGCTGCACGCTTTCGTTCCAATTCGCGTCTTTGCTCCTCCCGGCGCCTGGCTTCGCGCTCCTCTTGCTCCCTCTTCCTCTCACTTGCAAGCTGAGCCTTTCTCTGCGACTGGCTGGATATAGAGCTCTTGAAACTGCTGTTCGAAGAGGCTGTGTGTAATGAGGTATTGCTGGCCTTCTTCTTCAACGTCGACGGTTTTGAAGCCGACGCTGGAGTTGGTGCAGGTACGCTAGACTCCCGGGTGTTGGAAGACACTTGCGACGCTAGCGGCATTTGCCGGGAGAGGGCGCTGCCGACGCGAATTGAAACAGGCTGAGGCTTCGGCTTCTGAACCTCGCGGGCCGGCTTGAGAGGGCGACGTTCATTTTGCTTTGATGACTGCTGCTGTGAGACGGAACTTGGGGCGGCAAGTTTGGGTCCGGCTTCGACGCTGGGCTCTGGTTCCTTGGATGATTTTTGTAGATGCGACGTCTTATGCGTAGGCAACACGGTAGCTGATTCGGTAGTTTGCGCACGAGCTTCATGGTCAACGGTTGGCTTCTCTGGCGCCTTGAGTTTCATGGCTCTCTGTTTCTCCTGTTGCCGGGCTCTCTCCGCTTGCTCTTCTTCCCTCTGGCGGTCTTCGAGCTCTTTTTGTCTGCGCTTCTCCTCTCTTTCGGTGGAGCTACGCGTTCGACGGCCTTCTTGGCGTGGAGGACTCGGGGGCTGTGTCGACTGCGGCCGCTGGCTTTCCCTATTGCGATCTGTGTCCAATCGTCCCGTATGCCTTAATCTCGGTGGTTCTGGGGAAGCAGATTCGATTCTGGCCGCAGCTGTAACTCCCCCGGTATTCATGAAGAGGCCCTTAGCGGATTGTACGATAGACTGAAGCCGCGATTTGGATGCACTGATCGGACCATCATAGCGCTCGGCCGGGGAGCCAACTGGGGTTGTGGACATGTGGTTATCAACATGTGCAGACGCGCTCTTCTGATGACCAGGCCGCTGCGGCGATGAGCATGATGGTGTTGACGACTTTCCACGAGCTGCATCTGAAGCGTGCTTATAGCTAGTCCTCGGCTCTTCTGAGGGATGGACATCTCGTTCCTTATCAACGGAAGGACGGTCTTCCTCTGCAGCTCGGGCTATCCGAGCGCTGGAATGTTTGCCCATGCTATCAGCTTTCTGGCTAGCACGTATGTCTGGCCGGTAGGGCGAGTTCAGTGGTTTGATCCAGTCGTCATCCACAGCGGAGTCAGGAGCCGGGGTCTCACGCGACTTCGAGCCGGATGTCTCCTGTTTAGCTTCAGGTTTGGCAGTAGGGAGTTCAGGGTATGTCACTTGCGCGGTCGACAAGCCAGCGACGGAAGGAATGGATTTGGTAGGTCGAGAAGGCTGAAGTTTGCCGAGCATGCTGATCTTCTCATGCAGGAGCTGAGTGGATGACTTGTTGTGGAGCTTGCTGGCTCTAGTCTCGGCATCTCTATCTTCCTCAGTGGCATCCTTCTTGTCGTCAATGTCCATCTTGTCGCCATGGATATTGCTGTCCTCCGCAGCATGCTGGGTCGTCCTATGCCCACCAGTCTGTCTGCCCAGGTAACCTCCGGCGTTACTAAGCTTGGTAATGTCGAGATGGCTCGTACGGGAAATTCTCGAGCCTCCCAGGCTCTTCTTCGTCAGCGGTTCGCGAGCTGGGAGTGATGCAAAAGTGAGACTGCTTTTGCGAATCGGCGGGCGGACTGGAGATCCCTCCGAAGGTGAGCCGATTTCATCGAGACTGTCAAGGGCCATGTCGTCATTTCCGTCATCGTTATCTTCCTGATAACGCTCGAGGGGCTGCGAAGTTGCTTTTGTTTGCGGACTCGATTTCGTATCCTTGGACGGACTAGATACTGGCTTTGGTGCGGAATTCTTGGTGGGCAGGGATTCGCGTCTGGGTGAGGCTTCGGGCTCTTGTTCAGACTCATGTTCCTGATGGGCCTGGGTTTCTGGTTTGGCCTCAGGTTCCAACTCAACGGTGTCTTCACGCTCCGGCTCCGGCTCCGGTTCCGGCTCTTGTTCAGAATCCACGTCTGACATGGGTTTGTCTTCAGGTTCCTCCTCAGGTTGCGGTTTTGCTTCGTCAACCTTCTCTGTATTCTTCATCGGTGACTGTTGCTTCTGGGGACTGGTGCTGACATTCCGCTTGGGCGACGTTTCAGTGACCTCGGGCTCGACGGTTTCTTCGCGTTGGTGCACATCCTCGCGAGCGGAGTGGAAAGAGGCCCCTGTAGTGCGGCGTTCTTCTTGCGGTTGATGGGATACCTCTTCGGCAGCACTAGGCTCTTGATCCATAGGTTGAGTGGAGGACTGCGACTCGGGCTGCACTTGTGTAAGGACCACATCGTCTTCTTCTTCCTCTTCGTCGTCTTTCTCTTCTTCCGGCATGCCATGATAGCCCGAGTCTGTGTTGTATTGCGGGAAGGAGTTGAGGTTCTGGGTCAGATCCGGGTACTCGGGTTGTGATGTGTTCTCCGTGGTCTTCTTGGCTTCCGTCGCAGTGGCTGGGCCTGCAGTCGCAGTGACGGTCTTGGTTGGTGAGCGCTGAACTGCCGGGCTAGCACTAAATTTGTTCTCTGTCTTGCTGTTATTGTGTGCGGATGAGAAAATCTCGCTCAGGGGCTGGAAGCAGTCCGTTAGCAGATGATAGATGCGATGAAAGGTAGCTGGTTCAACACACCACTCGGGGTTCGTTCGCATCCCGCTTCCGCACTGTGCGAGGTGTTTTACCTCGTAGTTTTCCGGGGGTTTTGAAGACATCTGCGAAATTGCTATGCAACAGTGAGCGTCAGCAACTATGCGTCAAGCCTCTAGACTGGCGCAACCCACGATTGGTTGTTGGAGAAGACCTCGGCCATATGTTCATTCAGCCAATCCATCTCATGGCGCACTGGGTATTCAATTTCCTCCAGTTCTTGATCCACCAGCTGCATAAAATTCTCCTTTTCGGTTGAGATCCACGCTGCAGAGCCCACGGGCTTCTGCGCCCTCGCGCCTGCCGCGGCCATGGCGATGTAAACAAAGCGATCGCACAGCGGGTTGTATGGGTACTATAAAGGGGGCGTAAATGAGCGAAGGGCAAAAAAGCCCGACCTAGAATATAGCGAGAGACAACAAGGGGAACATCGAATAGTGGTGGGAAGGCGATAAGAGTTGGCAGGTCGACTGGTGAGCTGAGATCGCCTGTCGTCGGGAGTCGAGCATCAAAACATCGGCAAGCGCGTGAGTCCCGCCATGGCACGTGACGGTGCATCATACATGGTGCCTGATATCGAAGGCATCAAGATTTTGTCCTAGGCAGGATAGGGACATTCATCGCTCATGGGGAGTTACAATGCAGCGTCGCTGCAAAAGACCCCTGAGGCGTTTATTTGGCCTTTTTTTACTTTTCTGGCTTGTTTCTACGGCGTATCTCTCTATATTCGCTCCCCTTTGGATAAGCATCGCTAGTCCCGCCCTATTGAACCATGTTGGCATCGCTCATTCGAGAGTTCTCCTTAGACCAGGAACTGACGTGGGCGGAGTGTTTCTTCATGTAACAGCGATGGTCCCTTGCTGTGTTCATGGGACTCACATGAGGATCACTGCACCGCCAGCTGTCCCTGTGCACAGATCTAGACTATCAACCAGCCTCCAGTATGTACCATACCGGACCGGGCGGTTTCACAATCAAGAGGTGACAGAGGAACCAGTCAATGTGCCGCGATTGGGAGGAGAGATGGCGTTCTTTCCATCGGTCTCTGGAACCATTATCCAACGTTGACGATTCTTGTGACCTGGTCATGACATCATCTCTGAGTGCAAAGGGTAAGTAGTTCGTACAGAGGATTGGTAAAATCATTCTTCAACTCGATTGGCAGAATAACAAATAGCCAGAAGCTCGCTCGAAAGATCCGATAGGAAAGTCCGGGGCGTTACTCAAAGCATCGAATGAATTGTGTCTTTGCAGGTTTCCTTTACGGGGAAACGCATCCAAATCCGGATAAGGTAGGAGAGCCAAATGGCCATAGCTGGATGGATGATGGAATGGTTCGAGTAGTAGACCAGATCGCAAGTAGGGTCAGTCAACCATGGAGCCAACACCTACTCACTTCAGGTAGACTCGTGTATCCGGACCCCTTGCATTACGCCCACACCGTCTTGAAAGAGGGATAATGAACGATCATTAATATCCAGGAGCTCATTAGCTAGATAGATAACCTGTAGACGCTATTAGACAAACAGTAAGTTAAACGGCTGGCCAGACTAAAAGATAGTCCGAAACACCGGGTCCCATCGTCACATGCGGGCCCTTTCCGCTTGGAAGGCGCGAGAAAAAGGCCAAAAACCAAGCAAAGCAAAGCAAAGCAAAGCAAGCAGCAACTCAGCACACGATCATTGCATCACCCGCTCCTCTCCTCTTTCTCTCTCCTTATCCTCCCGGTCTTCTTCTCCTCCTCCATTCTCGCCCCTCCGTCGCCAACTTTTTCAATCTTCACTTCTCTTTCTTCTTGCCTCGGTCGTTCCCTTCGTCTTCCCTTGTATTATTTAATTTCAACCCGCCTTGAGCTTCCCCTGAAAACCCGCTCTCTACTCCCGGCCCTTTCCTCCTTATCTTTTCCCTCCCGAAAATCCTCCAGACCTTCCGAAACGCACACACACACGACTCTCCGCCATGGCTGACGTGAGCTATCCCGACACAAATGGCCACAGTAAGGTACGAGCAGTTACCGGTTCTCGTGTTTTGCTGTTCAGTGAGAGTGCATTGAAGCTGATTTAGTCTCTGATCGCAGTTCTGAATCTCCCACGCACATACTCCCAGTCTAGGTTACACGAACTGACCGTTACTCCCTCGCTTAGGCGCTCTCGCAAAGGGTAACTAGCTGGCTCCAAGCACACCTGCTTCGCGTTTACCGCTCGAAATTGGTGTCTTCATGACCAATTGATCTGACACCCAATCGATTTAGGCCCCATTGCCGATAACATCAAGTCCGAGGCGTCCCGCACTGGTCAAGAATTCCGCGAATTGAGGAACACTAGCCCTTCATCTACCACTGCGACCGGCCAACCCTTGACCTGTACGTTATGACACGAATCAGCTTGCAGGCGCTCTCTGCTGACCCGGTCCAGACTACCACTCGCTGCTGTACAGCCTTTTGAGCGTATGTGATCCTGGATGGCGCCAGGAGGGGACCCGATTTAACTGATTGTCATAGTGGGAGCAACCCCGAGCTACGGCCATCTCCTTCGCGAGTGTCGTCACATTCATCTTTGCCGCCCGTTACCTTCCTCTCCTCCGCTGGTTCTTCAAATTCATCTATGTGGTTCTGGGGTGTAGGTCTAAACGCGGGTCCCGCACAGGATTTACAACGTATGCTGATCGCCGGTTGTACTAGTCACCGCTATTGTCGAGGTCGGTGGCAGACTTGCTCTGTCACAGAGCGTCGTGAGCTCATTCCGGCCTCGCAAATACTACACTGTGCCGAAGGAAACCATCGAGGCTGTTTTGGAGGACCTTGAGCAGCTCATCGACTTTGTCCTCATTGAGTTCCAGCGTGTTCTGTTCGCCGAGAACATTGTCCACACCATTGCAGTACGTCCAAGAAACCACCAGTTACTGGCGACTCGGGCCAATACTAAATTGATGTGCAGTCCTTCTTTGCCGCTTTCACCGCCTACTGGTTGATCAAGTTCCTTCCATTCTGGGGACTGTCTTTGATTGCGGTCACCATCGCGTACATGGGACCCTTGATCTACATCAACAACCGCGAAGTCATCGATGCCCACATTGAGCACGCGCAGGAAGTTGTCAACAGCCAGGCTCACCAGCTAAAGGATCTTGCTGAAGAGCGCACTGCCCATGCCACGGGTGTTGTGAGGCAGTATGTTGGTGACTACAGCGCCAAGGCCCAGGGATACATGCGTCGCTCTGCCACTCCCGAGATGGCTAGGGCACCCGCTCCCGTTATCAAGAAGGAGCCTGAGGCCGAGCCCGAAATCAAGACGACTGACTTCCCGGAAGCACCTAAGGAGGAACCCATGGCCGCCCACGAGCCCGTGGTGGAGACGATCGAACAGCCTGCTGAGCAGGTGAAGTCAGAGCCTCTTTTGGCAGCTTAGGGAGCTGGGGCCTTTCATACGTGATTGGCGATCGGTCGGGATTACTCGGATGATGGACCTGTGAGAATTGCGGGGTAGGTGCAGAGGGAAAAGAATTGGTAGCAGCGGCATCTAAGTAGGATGGATTGGTTCGGTGTATGATGACTACCCGGGAAGATGCGTTTCGAGAGTTTGCGGGTCGATAATTGTATGTTTCTATGCTGGCTTCGAATTATGCTGCAACTTGTCGAATGTAATCACCGTATGACTTGATTTTCTATCCGGTTAAACTTTACCTTGGATTTAGTGCTAGCACTACGGATTAGTGACGTAGGCAAGCCAAGTCCGAGCTTATGTTGATTGTTAGAACTTTCCATGCCGAGATCTAGATTGCGCAGCGCTTAGGTACTTGGGAGAACATCCTACACGGACTACCATGTAGTTCAAGCCCATATTATGATCCATTAGATCTGGTCGTAATTATGGGCAGCCCTACCATGATATTTATATTTAAGGGGACGGACCCATAGAGCCTACCTAGACTAGACTAAGCGGGAGCGGCAACGGGAACCAAAAGACTAGCAAGCAGCTAAACCCAAAAACCACAAAACACAAAAAAAGAAATTTCTGTGCATCATCCGTGAATCGAACACGGGCCTCATCGATGGCAACGATGAATTCTACCACTAGACCAATGATGCTTCTTGATGTAAGGACCACCATAATATTAGTACATAGCCCGTAAGCGATTACATACAAAAACATCCGTTCCTCATCCAAATCCCGAAGGTCTACTACTAACATGTTACCCCTTAACCACATTCCTTTTCTCTTCTAATTGTTTATTCTACCATCTTCAAGGATATATTCCTGAATTAAAATGCCAATTACATCTCTACAATACTCTTAGTAAAGATTTACTAGAAACAGGAGTAGGCAAAAAGCCAAGTCTAGATTATCCTCCCCGCACCCGATATATTTATCGCAAGGCAACTAGTACTGACAGACACACAGACATGGATATTGCATGCAGGACACGAATCAGCAAACTTCAATCAAATCACAACCGCCGCACGCCACAGTCCCTATTACTGATTGAATCTGTCTACATCATCATGAAAGAGCAAAAAAGGGTGCAAAAATAAAAAAGGGGAAAAGTTGGCCTGGGACACCCTACCTACTACTTTGTAGACTTTGTAGACAGAGGGATTAGATAAGTAATAACAAACACCAGAATTTAAACAGTCCTCACTAGCAACGACAAATCCACCTAGTTAACTGCCTAGCTGCAAACATATTAACTGCCAAACTAACCCCGCAATCATAATCGAAGATCTGCCACCCCAGACAAGACAACGGCAACGATGGCGCAGCTGAGAAAAGAAACCGAACATGACAGCCAAGAATCATATACCCGATAAATAATTGAAACGGCTTTCATAAACGCATATGTAGAGGTACTGTGTGTACACGCAAGCAGGCAAATGACCATTTGCTGAGAATGGAAGGAGGAGAGGCCAATGCACAGCATCTATCTATCTATCTATCCCGGTCGTATAATGTGTGTATACTATAGTTCCATGGTTATAGTAGGGGACGAACAACTAGGAGTACGGAGTAAGAGTAGCTCCTTACCCCGCGAACACACCCAATCGCCGATGCAAACCTGTTTCCAGTCCATGAAACTGGGAACTGGAGGGGTTGTGTTTTTCAAGTGTCAGTGAAACACACTCTGAAGCAGGGCTTGTGAGATCTATCAAGATCTGGGTGAGGCCAAAGCACACGGAACTGCAAGGCATCCCTTGCTTTGGAAACAAGTTCTGAGGAGGGATAAAATTTGAAGTTTAAGAGGGTTGGCAAACTTGGCTGGTACGTGGTAACTCGGTGCCTTTTTTGAAGGCCGAGTTGGTATAAAGGTTGGCGTGTTTCCTTTCTTCTACCTCCCTACACCTATACTAAGTTATCTTCAGATTCATGATTCTCCCCTCTTGGGACTGTTTCAATTAGTCTTCTGTATGCCTTTATGTACACCAACTTTTCGTTTCATGTTTTCCCCCCCCTCCCCTTTGCCCCCCCTCCATTATTTATGTACCTGAGAAGACGCAACCGAAAAAAAAAAAGAAAGGGAAGGCAAGCATGTATCCTGAGGGTGATGGTGCTCCCGCCGCACTGGTGGAAATATTAAGTAAGTATTATGGTATATGAGTATGTCCCTTCTTTTAGGCCGTTCCTCCCAATAACCGCATTACATGATCGACGAGGACAAAAGAAATAAGGAAAGAAAGAGGAGACACGACCGTCATCACGCCCTGCTAAAACACCAACCGCACCCGAGATACAAAGGAAACAAGGAAACCCATAACAAAGGGAAGAGAAGTCTAATAATTAAAGTAGTATGGATGTGTGCAGCTTCCGAGGTCCCCAGAGAGCCCCATTACAGGTAAGGACTGCTGTGCTTGGCTGTGTGGGTAATACTTCATCGAATAAGGATTGGCATCCAGGGTTGTTGTCGCGGCTGCTGCCGCTGCCGCTGACGGCTCCTGGTGAAATATGGCTCCCCCGGTGAGGTCAAGGGGATAATCGCCCTCGCGGTGGCGCTTGATCGGCGCGAACGAGGCCGATGCATCGGTATCCCATGCTGTAGGGATAGGAGGCTTGCACGGGTCTGACGCCTTGGATGTGGGTGGCTTTGACGTGAGCGGGGAGGTGGTGGCGGTAGAAGGGAAGACAGATGTGTGCGATTCGAGATCAGGAATTTCCTTCCTGTAGACGGGATTGCTTTCCTTGAGGGCCTGAGTGGGCGAGCCCAGAGTCTGGGAGTCGGTGAGCTCTGGGAGGTGGACGCGGGAAACGCAAATCACGGCGGAGCCATCTGCAGTAGCTAAGTATGAGATGTGTCCAAAAGAACCAATAGCGGATAGAAAACGCTTACCTGTTCGACCGTCTAGGTATCGTTCCTCCTCCTCTCGTACGTGGTAGATCTCATCGAGAACGGGAATGCGTTCGACGGGGGCAATTTGGCGCCGAACAGACTGGTCGGCCTCCTTCAGTTTCTCCACGCAGATAGCGTGACTTTCACGCAGCTCGCAGAGGATGTGGACAAGCAGGCGAATACGTTCTATTTCCAATGTTAGAGCGACTGATGCAGGGAGCAAA